CGGCCGATGTCTTTCCATACAATGAAGGCCTTAATCAGAAGCAAACTCCATACCTCAAGGTACAACAAAATTAAAGCTCGAACAAACTGACCTCAAGGTTCAACGAACTCAAGAACAAAGGGGAAACAGTGGACAGTGGCACTCTCCCGATCAGAAGAGAATTCAAGATCTCAAGGTGCAACGAACTTAAACAACAAAAGAGAAACAGTGGACAGTGGCACTCTCCGACATAGCCGACTAGCCAAGAATCAGAAACAGTGGACAGTGGCACTCTTCGATATAGCTAGGAGAAATAGTGGACAGTGGCACTCTCCGACATACCCGGCTGGGCCAAGAATCAGAAACAGTGGACAGTGGCACTCTTCGATATAGCAAATGAGAAACAGTGGACAGTGGCACTCTCCCGACATACAGGAGAAATAGTGGACAGTGGCACTCTCCGACATACCCGGCTTTCCAGACCTCAAGGTTCAACGAACTCAAAGCTCGAACAACAGAGAAACAGTGGACAGTGGCACTCTCCGACATAGCCGACTAGCCAAGAATCAGAAACAGTGGACAGTGGCACTCTTCGATATAGCTAGGAGAAATAGTGGACAGTGGCACTCTCCGACATACCCGGCTGGCGAGAATCGAAGCCGTTGCTGAGTTTAGACTACGTATCGGACAGTAGTGACAGTGGCACTCTCCGACATACCCGACTGGCCAAGAATCACGATTGCTTGGCGAAACACCTTCACAGATTGGAAGTACACACTAAACCGCCTGATTAGGTGTCAAGCCTTAAAGACAAGGACGGGAAGGCAAAGATACTGGGAAGCAAGAAGACAGCTAATGATTTGCTATTAATTAACTGCCATAAATGTACCCCCCCCCCCTTCTTGGGGAAAGCTGAAGTCAAATATTAAGGGCTAATGATAAATATCATAAAGCCTGCCATTTGAAATAAATATTTAAATAAATATTTTCTTCATAAATTTAGATTCTCGGAGTTAGGACATATTTCGGAAGGCACTCTTAGCCCATTGAATAAATAAGAATAATATTTTGTTAAATCAAAACACATGTAGGCCTGCCTATTGTTTATAGTGATTGATAATAGAGAGTGTGTTTTCGTAATTTGTTTGGTTTTTTAAATAACTAAGATATTTATAATAAAGTGGGGTAAATGATGATCTTCGTTTTCAATTTAGCTTTGTAGCACATATAACTTATTTTGTTTAAAAACGAACTATTATCAATCAATAAATTATTTATTATTCTGTCAAACTCATGGTTCATTAAAGTTCGTTGCATAATTATTTTATCATTGCAAACATTATCCAAAATGGAAAACATTTATTTATTTATTTCGAATGGCAGGCATTTTGATAGTTATAATTAGTCCTTAGCTGTGTTCGTACTTCACAGAGGGGAGAAACATCAAAGTTAGAAAAATTCAAGAGAGTGGACCGAAGAGTGATTTGCAGATGTAAAAGAGGCAGACACAATGGTAGGGAGTAGGGTTGGGTGAGTACTGTAGAAGTGGTCGACTATGACATACAGTGAGGTCATGGTAGTTTGAAGTCAGAAGTCAATTGCCGATTAATAGACTTTTTGGCCGTATGAGTATACGTTGCCCAGGGTGCACCACATGGAGGTAAGTCTATCGCACACCCAAAATGGAAAGCATTAGTCCAAAGCTTAGTTTCCAATTTGGCACAGATCAATAACAAATTAATTGTTGGTGATTTTATAGTAATTTAGTGCCTTTGCGTGGGTTCTCACATTTGTGTTTAAAATAAGAATCAAATACTGGTGCGAGAGCAAAAGAAAGGTTATCGACACTTCAAAACGCACATTTCAAGCATTTCATTGTCCACCACTGCTAAGATCCACATTTAAAATACACGGACACCTCTCTAGAAAAAGAACGACTATTTTAATTATCTCGGCGTGACATTTGGTATAAAGATTATATGGAAAGGCTACATCGAACGTTCTGAAGCGCCTCGCTGGTAGCATATGGACTGAGCAAGATGCTTGTTCAACCAAAAATGCTTTATTGGTGCGAGCCACTCATTATAACCCCATAGGTGATTCTCAAACCACTCGAGAATAAATTCAAGCCGGCACTACGATTAATTACTGGAAAAATAACATCAACATGACGATAATCCTACCATGGATCAATAAACACTGTAGCATTATAGAAAATAAGCGTGATAACGCACTGGCTAAGATAAGGACTACAACATTGCAATTCATAGACCGGCCAATGTCTTTCCACACAATGAAGTCCTTAATCAGGAAAGAATTCAAGACTTCATAGTGTAACGAACTTAAAGATCAAAAAAAAGGAGTAACAATTGACAGTGGCACTCTCTGACATAGCCAACTGGTCGAATGTGAAATAAATTGTAAATTTGTTCTTTAAAATCTCTCCAAAACAATTGCTCGTTAGTCTCGTCATTTTAGCTTTGTCGCAAATGAGTGTTCCATTGAAATAAAGTGTTCCGATTTGACTGTATGGCATTCGCTGTTGGCAATCTTAGAGAAAACATTAATAAATTTCTAATAGTTTTTGATATGTTTACACTTGAGATT